GGGAAAGAGAATATTAATTGCAATTTTCACGGAACTCCTAAAAATATCAATAAAAAATCATTAAAAAAATAAATAAATAAATTGGTCAAGTTGGCTTCAGGGCTGCGTGGTGATGTTAGCATAAGTTGGTCTTTTTTTTTTACTGATTCGAGTTTAAAATTTAAGTTTTATTATGATAAAAAATTCTCAGAAACAGTCACATTTAACTTTTTTATTATAATAAAATTTTTTTACACAACGTCATATTTTAACTCAAATTAAAAATTTTAATTAAAAATTTAAATTAACAAACTAAACGGCCTAAGTTAGAAAGAAGAGGCGCTCGGTGCATGTAACTTTGATCAGAAAAACACGGAAGAGCCAACTTTGGGTAGCTTAGCTAAGATATTCACATGTGGGCACGTTCTCTGTATTAACAACGTTATCAGTCTTGTTCGTATAGAATAAAATAAAATAAAATAAAATAAAAATATTATCAATTCTGTTGCGGCACCGCAATTTCAGCCTTGGGACCCAGCCCGTATTAATCTACAACCTCGTTTTTCTCTTCTGTTGTGTTATTACACAGTTATATATTGTTTGTCATTAATTATGGTATTTTTTTAATTCTCGTATCGATTAAATTGAGTTTTTTTTTTTTTTTTTTTGGTATTTCTTCTTCCTTTTTTTAAAAGAAATTCTTATTTTTTCTCTTTTGTTTTAATAAATTAGAGTGACAAACTTGGTGTGGGATGTGTGGCTAATTAAAGGAGACTAATTTAATTGGAATGTCGCTAACCATGTTGATTGCAGTTGCCCCGGATGAACAGAAAAGGAGGCGAAAAGAATATAATTCTGTATTACACTTCTTTATTATACCAGTAATACACAGCTGTGTGTACATGTATAAAGTAGGAATGAGAAAATCTTCCGGTATGAAAATATTTATCAAATTTGAATAATATTTGACTAAATTGTGAATTCATTTAACAAATTAGTTATTCACAAGAGTATTATCAAACAAATTGATATCAAAATGTGATGAGTAACTTTTCTTTTTTTAATTAACACTACTCAAATAGAAAAGGTCAAACAAAAATATATAACCAAACCCCTTAAAAAAATAAAAGGGCATAAAAAATCAATTAGCCAAGCCAGTTTGGCCATAATCATGTCAAAAATCATGTAATCACTCAAAATATTCTCATTGTGAAAGATTAACTATTTCAATTTTACAATTTAATTTTAAAAATCAGTTATATTAAGGGTCCGTTTACTTCGCTGATTTGAGTTTGTAATTCGAGTTGATATGTGATTTTGTGTGAGAGTTTTTTACTGTAGTAAAAAAGTTAGATGTGAATGTTTCTGAGAACTTTTTAATGACAGTGTGACGCCAATATAGAAAATCAGGTTTTCCGTAACTTTTTTTTTCTTAAAGAGCTCCCAAAACCTTATTTTCTATATGTCATTAGGATTATTATTATTATTATTTTGGCTAAAGGTGTATATCATTATTATCCCCTTCCAAAAAAAAAAAAAAAAATCATTATTATCTAATTGAGAACCAAAATGGCGTTAAAAGGTTTAGCAAAAAAAAGGAACAAAGAATTGTGAGTACCAAAGCCAACACACGTGCTCCAACCATTATTCGTTATTTATGTGGCTGCTAAAGGAACAGAGCCCCCAACTTGAAATCCTTGGGACCCACCAAAGTCTGCCAACACTAGGCTTCACTTGAAGTGAACCCCAATTTGTGGGGTCCACACTCATAACGTGCAGTTGTCAACTTTGAGCTATGTTATAATGTGTGTAACGTAACACCGCCCAATAGGGACTCTAAAGCTTCCATGAAACATGACGTTAATTTTTCTGTTTATATATATATATATATATTTTTTTTTGGGTCCCCTCAATCTTTTTCCATTTCTTTATTATTATTATTATGGTGTCACTGTAGGTGCAAATTGAGTGTCTTTAAGAAAGTGAATTGCAATTGCTGAGACCCTATTATGTCATCCCTTCCGCTTGGGTTTTCAGGTCATGTGCCAAGCATTTGCCCACTTGTGATAGAATCATTTATAGAATATTTATTTTACAGGAATCTTTTTAACAAAGCAGGTTCTTTTACTCCTCCACCGATAAAAATTATTAATTTTAATAGTTATAATAATCTTTCAACAGTGAGATTTATACATATCTACATTAAAAATTTACATTACATGTCATAAAGTTGCTCTTATTGTACATCAAATAAATGAAAAATTAATCTAATAATTAAAACACAGTTTTTATTGACAAATCAACATAACTTCGACAATAGTTAGAGCATTTTCAATGCAATTTTATAATTAATGTGTCAATTGTAAATTTAATATTTGAGTGCAAAAAAATTCTCTAATATAATGTCATTTGTTGTGTTAAATTTCTCATGTGTTATACTTTATGGTAAACTTTTCATTAAGTATAGCATATGAAAAATTTAACATTTAATTGTTATTGGTTAAAATGTTTAATTTTTCATGTAATCATTACGACTTTTACGTTTTTCAATTATTTTA